CATGTAAAAATGAAACAATGTATATAATAAATAAAATTATTTATTTTATGTGTATTTTTAGCTTAAATGTAAACTGAAGAAAAAAAAAAAGTGTTTAATCTTTTTTTCCCAAAAATGTAAGCCTATTGAAATTCAAGGTGTTTCTACCTTTTCGGATGTAACATTTCCAGCTACCTATTGATAATAAACATTTATGAACAGCAAAGCAGATGACATTCAGTAATTTCTACCACCTTCTGCACTGGAAGCCTCCTCAAGGAGCACTTCAGGGCTCCCTGTCTGTGGAGATTTACGCTGGTGTTTGAAGAGACATGGTGCAGCCCTGCTTACCTGCAGCGAAGTCAATCAGCCAGATGTGAGCAAGTGTTCCTGGGCAGCAGCTGAGCCACACCTGACTGCGCACAAGTTGAAAAAATCCCAATCATTACATCTTCTCTGCAACAGAAAGCAGCAAATCCACACTGAGCGCTGGTAAATGTAATGCACCACATGAATGCAATTACTGCAGTACAAAGGAGTCCAACTATCGTTCCATTTTAATTTGCTCCCTAAAGATATTCTTTGACCAGCGTAACTACATCATCCACTTTGGAATACGCAGCAATATAGCTAATAGCGTGAAAGAGTCATTAAGCAACAACCCAACTTCGTTAACTTAATTTGCTCATGTGAAACAGTCCTCCACGCAAATCTCATCAAGGCACCGGAGGCACGCTGTTGAAGTTCTGAAGGTTTCCATCAGCCACCAGGAGCCCCTGGTCATACCTCCAGAAGAATGGGAGTTTTCTGAAATTACACAAGGGCAGTGCCCCTCTCCTTGAAATGCAGACGATCCTGGTACAATTTGGGCAACGTGGCCCCACATGGGAACAGACAGCCCACTGTGAGAGCTGCAGCAAGGCCCAGGACTGCAGCAGTCCTCAGCTACAGAGCTGTAAACACACCAAGGATGTGAGAAGGCTGCAATTTTATTTTATTATTACTGTTGGGTTTTGTTTTCTTTTAGAGTTTGATGTGCATATTCCTTACTCCGACCATAAAACCTGGAATTTCAAAGTTGAGGCACCCTGAATCTCTAGTTGTGCTCTCTACCTCAGGAACAGAAACTGCATCTGAAAACACCTTCCGTTGTACAGTGACTACAGGGATAGAAGGATGCACTGCAGCAGAGAACACCCGGTTGGAGCAGGGAGGGAGGGAAGTGGGCTGAGACAGAAGGAGTTTTGCAGTATAATCCATCTCCTCTTACTGCACTTCCTGAAAACACAAATCATGTGCTCAAGTAATCACCATAAATATTAAACATTTTTGCTTTCAATTCTGAAAAATACAAAACAAACTGGTTTAAAAAGCAGTCTGAAACCACAGTTTGAAATTTGAATGTCAACAGGCAGGGTAGAAAACAGGAAAAATACCCAAAGGAGAGGGGCAGAGGGAGTTAGAAGGTCCACTAATTTCATCTTTGCAGGATGCACCGCTTTCTCTTGGGACCATTTTCCATAACACAGCGACGTCAAGCAGCTGTCACAGCCATGTGTGGCTCTTACCTTGCTGTTAACCTCGTGGTACGCTGGTGGCAGAGTGCTCACCTGCTCCAGCAAAGGCAATGTTCAGCAGAAGGAATACATGGAACACCATAAATGAGTTCAGTCTGTAAAAACACCCTGCTAGGGCTCAGACACGTGTTCCTGGTGCTGCAGATCAGCACGCTTGTGGCAATGACTGAACTGCTGTGAGCAGTGCCCATCGTCTGTGGCTAATGCTGGCTGGACTGCTCTGTGCTAGATTGCTGTGAGTGGCAGTGACTCGACCAGCAGGAGCTCTGCCTTGAAACATTTAAATTCTGATCTTGTTTCAAAGCCATAAAGTTCTAATTTGAGAGCTTTGCCTTCCTCCCTCTTAAGGGCGGGCACTTTGAACTGGGGGTCCGGATTTAAGATTTGAGCACCTCCCACGCATCATGCAGCCTTTGACAGTGTGATTTTATAAACGAGAAGGATTTCCAGCGCCACTGCAGAGAGAAAGGGAGGCTAAAATAAAACAACTGAGCTGGAAAAGCAACAGCCACAGGAGCCGGTTTGGTACACTTGCACAGCCATGGGGAAAAACAGCACGGGAACAGCAGCCAGCACAGCCCTGCAGGATAATGCTGCCGGCAGGCAGAATCAGCAAGATTAGTCTCTACAGCATTTGTAATAATTACCTTCAATAACAGATGGATTTTACAATTCAACAAACTCCAGAGACTTGTGCCTCCAGCACACAGCAGCGCTGTACAGAATGTTAACAAGCAGAGGAGCAGCTCACTGCCTGCAGGGAGCCGGGTGGCCCAGCACCCCTCAGCCAGCACAGGCTGCAGCCATCAGTGCATGGTGCTCAGGAACGGACGTGTGCTCTGGCACTGGCGGATCTGCAGGCAAACAGCTGGGTAAGAGCCTGCTCTAAGGGCAGAAAGGTTTGTAGCAGCTTAGAAGAGGGTGGAATACTTAAAAACACAAAGTCCACACCTGAAAACTACAGCATATCACTGCCTACTTCATCCTGCACTGCCAGGAGTGTTCTGTGCCAGGGCTCCTTCCCACAGCCTTCAGGTGATAATCCACTCCGAGCTGCTGCCTTTCATGCAGAGAAATGTGGTGTGGAAAAGGAGGTGGCAAGCATGACTGGCACAGGCTTGGCAGCACAAACCTTCTCCCTTTGGCAAGCTGAAAATTCAGCCACCAAAAAATAAAAATACACGACATCAACGCATTTCAGGATCAAATCTACTTAAAGAATTCATTATTATGCAACATATAACAAGAAACCAAAAGAGGAGAGAAAAAAAATCAATCTGAAGGAAATTATTGTTCCAATCAGAAATCAATACTCAAAGATTTTATACCTCCACTCAAATAAATGCTAAAATATGCATGTGGCTGCAAGCCATACTCCCCTGCTCGTGCCCAATGCAGCCAGGCACAAAACAGTGTTGGTCTGGTTCTGATGTGTAACTGAACCAAAGATGAGAAATTTGGACCATCATCCGACACCAGGCTCCTCACAGAAAAAAAAAAAAATACCCAAAGCCCCAATCTTGCTATTCACACTTTCACATGGTCCCAGTGAAGCCTAGGTCCTCAAAACCACTACTCCAACAGCAGCAACTCTTAGACCCTCCCTTATTTCAGTGTCTTTTTAACATTACAGCTTTATGCTGTAATACAGCAGCAACATTTTCTACCCTATAGAGAGCAGGGATGAACCTGCTCCAGCACATTAACTGCTCCACAACCCCTGCGTGCTGCTTTAAAGAATTGCTTCTGAGCCTCAACAGCCCTGATAAAAACATCACAGCTGAGATGCCTGCTTGTATCTGTTTGTATCAGATCCACGAGCAAGTTCACCAGACGCAGATTACAAGTGTAAAAATCACAGTGGTATTTCTTTTTAAATATACATCAATTGAGGTGATTAACAGGGTCACTAATGCAACTAACAAAAATCTAGCTGCTATAAGTGAGAAGAGAGAAAAACTTGACTTCCTACCACAATCGTTGGTCTGTATTTCTAAGAGGAAAAAAAGAAGTTGACTCCTGGAGACAAATAGAAAGAAAGATAAAACATAACTTCCAGCTACAATAACCATTTGCACTGAAAAAAAGCAAGGCTGTCTCACTGACAGTGTAAGGAAAGAGGCATTATTCACAGCTCAAGGAGAGATTCACTCCAGTGCTAACAGTGACTGTTTGATGTGACAGATGATGGCACTCAAGACTGAAGTGGAAACATTTGATGACTTCATGATGGAGACTGCACTTCTGAAATCTGTTCAATCTTCAGGTGCATAAAGTTAGTCACATGGTTTGTAGATTCCCTTTAGAGGTTACCTAGTGAATTATTTTTTGGAGGAAGTTTTAACAAAACTTGTGGCATTGTTCCCTGTTCTCATAAAGGCCTGTGTAAGTTAAGAGCACTCTTTCAAAATGGCAGAAATGCTGAGGCTGAAGTCCTAATGGTCTCCAGTTCCTTTGGGGAATCTTTTCCAAGCAGTACAGCAGGTCAAAATGATACCAGCTAATCAGGGATCATTTCCATTCACACCTTGATTTTCCCTCTGGTGCCTCCAACTCTAAGAGTTTTATTAAACCCCGAAGTTAAATGTACAGCAGTAATTGGAGATGTGAAGAAACAAACTAGAAGCCAAGCATACAACCTCCTAGCCAAAAGTAGTAAATAACCACTTTTATTAACAGAGGGGCAAAAAACTTCACAGTTTTATTCTAGCCTATAAAGACTCATAATGAGCAACTTTCTCCTGCTGTTTTTGGTCCAATCCCATGTTTATTGAACAGGTATACTGATGGAAGCATACTCCCCTCCCTCTGTTTAGCACAGTCACTCCTCTTTTCATCCCCGCTCAGCTGTATAAATTCAGGGGCACACGCAATTACTTTCAACTTCACCAAATAACAACTGTGCCACTTTCTGAAGCTACTGACAGCACCTCCTTATCTGTACCATATGTCCCCCACGCAGGCTGTGTTTCAATTACGATAACTCAAGTTCCCTACAAAATCTGGCAGCCGTGAGTTTCGGAAGGCAGCTCCAACACCCAAACGTTGAATTCATGTGGGGAAAAAAACAAAAAAAAAGCAAAAAAAAAAAAACCCCACAAGCCTTGGGAAACAGATTACTTTGCTCTTTTTCTGGGACCCTGGTACCAAGCCCTCCTAACCTGCACCTGTGCCCTTGCTCATTACCCCTAGAACAGGGCTATGCCACCACCCTGTCCTTGGCTGTGAGCAGGCTCCAGCTGGCAGCCACCACATGATAATTCTGCACATCAGTGCAAGGTTCTATGGAGTACAGAAACAGCTAGAGCTACTGCGGTCTCATGCTGAAAAAGCCCATGCTTTCCCACTGGAGGCAGGAAACAAACAAGACAGTACTTCTTCAATGCTGTCTGCTGTGTAACTTAGTCCCACGAACATCAAGTGCTGGTAATGAACAACCAGGGATTTCCACGGGTTAGATGCTTTTATTTTGTGCTATCAGTGCAAATCAGACACCAGAACTACCACCACTTGTGCAACAGCTTTCACAAAACGCATCTTACAAACACACACTGATATACAGTAGAACAGGTTGAAGCAGTATCTTACACTTTTAAGAGACATGAAGCCAACACAGAACAAAATCACATATTATAAATATGTGATCACCAACGGCAAACAAAGTTTTGTTTTGTGAAATCCGAGAACACCAACTTACTTCCAGCAATTCTGTCCTCTAACAAACTCTGCACCCAATTTTTTGCTGTGGTTGTAAGGGCAGCTGTGCTTGTACAAGAACCACGTGTTCAAGTGTTACAATGTACCCACTCACACGGGTATGTAATGCAATTTTCCCATAGTGACAGTATGTTTTTTTTACACATTTTTTTATGTAGTCTAACACACACATTGTGTTCCCCCGTGCTACAGTTTACGTATACGCCTCTCCTATGCTGCCTTAGATGAACTACCAAAACTTCATCCTGTCAAGCTGATTATCATTAGCATAAGCCTGGAAAGAAACATGGAATCGAACACAATTTAATCAGTCACCCCAGCCCATTGAGACAAAGACTTACAAAACAATGGAAGTTCATGAAAAAAGACATGAGAAAAACTAAGTGCAAGAAATGAGCTCACACCCTCCTGGACTTACATTCCTTGATGCACATAATGCGTTGCAGGGTTAGGTGAGGCAACATAGCTGACTTGGTGCAGCTGTCCAGAACTTACAGCGTTAGGAACTCGTGGAGAATTTCCATATGGGGGATTTAATGAATGCCACGAGCCAATACAGTGATAGGCAGGTACTAGAGAGATGCAAGAGTCAAACCCTGGAGCAGATGGCTGGTTGTAGGGGTCTGACACCACTGGGTAATACACCGTGCCATGGGACAGGGCTGGAGGCTCTGTGTTTTGGAAGTTACCTTGGAAAGAAAAGAATACATATATTTACGCAGCAGAACTGCGCCTGATGAACAGGCTGAAGTATTATCAGCATTAAGCCTGCATGCATCTGAGCAACAGCGCCGTTAAATGCGCTCCTTCCCAGCACTGATCATTCACCACATTCCTCAGATTTTGTCGAGGCAGGCATCTGACCTTCCTGACATCTTTTTCTTCATTTGATACAATCCTCTTACTGCCAAGTCTATCTACAAGCTGCTTGCACAGCCATGTGACACTAAGTTTTGCTGTAGCTTTCCACACAGAGCCTAAAGCTAAGGTTTGCAGTGTCTTTGCAGAAAGTCGCAATGCTCAGGGCTTGCCAAAACTGTGTTGTCTCTTTTACTTTAAAAACAGGCATTATTTTGATATCATAATTATTAGCTTATCAATGAGAAGATATACCTTCAACATAATTTCAGAGTAAGTTCCCCTAACTAAAAATTAGTTCACCGAGTACAAACCTAGAAAGGACTACTTCTTACTTTTCATGGTTTTAAACAGCCCTTGGTGTCAGTGCCTACAAAAGTGGCTCTAGCATTATTTTAAGGAACTCACAATAACTCATTATAATGTCTGCACTATGACCCATGCTTCCTATACTATAAAGATGTAAGAATGCAACTCCTGTGGAGCAGCCATACTCTGAAAGCCATAACCTCACTATTCACAGTTTCTGTACGTGGTCTTATAGTCAAATACTAACCATTTGTAGGCGCATCGAGGGGAACCTGATGGACCTCAGCTCGCCCAGCATCATAGAGCTGAGGTACTGACTGATCCAGGACATGAGCTGGCTCAGCATATGCTGGATAAGCCTCCACAGATGACGCTGGTGGCACCGGCTGTACATAGACCATGGAATGCCAGTAACTCTGGTGATAGTACTTTGAGGAGAAAAACAAGAAAACAAGGTCAGGCATACAACCACAGTCTCCATCCTTCCTCCAAACACCAGTTGTTTCATATCAAAGAGTAGTAATATGTGCATTTTTCCCTTCTGCTACTGTAGGATGATGTTACATACGAAGGAGAAAAAAAAGAATACAGACTGTCAGAAAATTTGCTGCAATAGCTGCAACTACCAACTCAGTTCTAACCTGTTTTAATTCTTAAGAGGGAGTTCTGATTCTCTATAATTGACTTTGTTGTATTCAAGATTTTTCCATTTCTTTAGTTGAAGAATCTGGCATAGTGCTTTTACTTCTCAGAGTTCCAGAGTCACCTATGACTGCTGGTGCACAGACAATTGTTGCATACAGTGCTCGAGCAATGGTTCCCAGACAGAGAAATGGTGCTAACTGGTCAGAGCCATGCACACCCCAGAGGACTCAAACCATTTGAGTTAGAACACCTCCAACCAAGCTTATTTGTAATGATTGTCAGCTACACAGTATGCACATTTAGCACACCTGGAAGTCTTAAATACATCAGTACATCTGACAAGAAAAGCAGCAGTTTTTACAGGCAATTTGCTGTAATCACTTTAAAAGCACTTACTTGCAATCCCAGATTAAAATAATACTGCAAGACCTTTGTATCTGAAATTAAAGGATACGGCATTAAAGAGCAGATGAGCATAAACTGATGAGCATAAAGAATTCTACATACATCGAGAATATTTTAAGTCACTTCAGTAACTATTCTAGCATTATTTTTTCTTCAGTGTTTTAAGGCTAAAAAGTATATATTGAGTTTAACTGGTTGCTATAAATACTGCATCTTTAAGCTAATCCAGTTAGATGTCTGTTTAGTATACTGGAGAACTTGCTCCCAGCAATCCCAGCAGCTTAGAGGAACTTTAAAAAGAGTTGCCAAGCATAATATGATTTTCAAAGTCTTAACAGTCCCAGAAGAGTGAAGCTGTTTAAAACCTTCCAGGTTTGCCAGTGAAAGCAGAAAAGCAAGCATGTTTTAAACCCATGATGCAGTAACAGAACAGTGCATAAGAAACTCATTTCTCAGTCTTTAATAAAGACTTGTTTTAAAGGCTCAGGAAGGACACAGCAACAGGTTAGGTCTCATTCAGTACTGAGAGGACCTGAATAAATCAAAGCAGCAAAGCAGAACAACTTGAGATAAGCAAGCCAGTAAGGATTTCAACTGTGGGTTATAAGGGAACTCTGGAAGTGTTGCTGATTTCTTACCACCTCTGTTCTTCCCTCGACTAGAGCCTCCACATGGCTTTCCTGCTTGCTATTCAGCTACTGCACACGCATGCTTTCACAGCCCTGCTCTTCTCTAGTACTGAGTATTGTTGTCTGCTGCAAGCAGGAATAGAATGGGAAATGCAAATCCCTACTTTGAAATGAATGAGGACTGGTTCCTCTTTTGCCAATTCTCAACTCTTTCACTGTTCAGCATATTGGACACATCAGGGCACAATCTACTTAAATGCAAGGAAGGATCTGTGTGCATTTGCCAAAAACAGCTAACAGCTTATGCTCAAAAGTGCTGCTGATTTGGCTCTGACATTAAACAGTTAAATATTAAAAATAACTGGAAGGCTCACACAAATGTCAGCTTCTTAGTATCTAGCTGAAGCTGCATCTACCTTGGAAAAATGATTTTTTTAATCTGATTTTGTTTTTCAATTGATTATGCAAATATATGCAAAACAAGCCTAAGAACTGAATGAAACAGCTGCTTCATAACAGAGATAACAGTGCAAAGGAGGAGCTGGGAGACTGAGGTGACAAACTAATACAGGAAATACTGATGTCTGGAGAGTTCTGCAACAGAAGCCACTACAGTAGGGGACCAGTTTTTCGTCTATATTCCTCTTTCAGATGTCTAGAAGTCAAGTCAGTCTTCAGTATAACAAAACTACCATGTGAAATAACAGCTAAGCCAGAAGAAGTTCACCACCATGGCATGAAAATATGAAGATCACATCAACTACTGATAAAATTTAATCTTAGGGTGCATGAGGACAAAGTCTGCTTTTCAGTTGAGTAGCTGAGATCAATCCTGAATGCTGCCACAGGAAAGGAGCAGTCTCCAGAACAGCAAGCAGCCTACGCAGCTGCTTCAAACGCGAGGGAGCAGATGAGAGTAAGATACCGAAGGTCACTGTGTTAATAGAAGCCATTTCACAAGCCCTAAACGTCACCAAAAATATTCCAGCAACTCTGGGAACTGGGATACAGCTGTATCAATGAATATTAAGGCACCATCTTCCTCACCAGTCTGTGACTTCAGCCCGTTAAAGTCAGATTTCAAACCATGCCAGGCCAAATACCAGTCATACAGGTTTTTTGTTTTTGTTTTTTCAAGCAAACTGCACAGAACTCTCAAGTATACACAAATATACACAAACACTTTAACATGCCCTACTCCAAAACTGCTGGATTTCTCAACCTAAAGATTATGCAGTGACACTGCAGTGACACTCAGCGTCTCCTTGCAGAAAAGGAAAAATGCTACATGCAACTTCTTATTAGCTACTAACCATAAAGTCCTGGGGAGAAAAAAAAAATTGGAGCCTATCCCCAGAAGGACATGGCCAGTATGACGATAAGAGAGCTGAAGAGGTGCAGGCAAGGGTCTGAAGAGATTATTAATCCACATCCACTGCAGATTCTTGTCAGCATACTTAACACCCAATTCTCCCAAGTGCTGAAAGCCTCAGTAAAAGGCATTTAACTGAAGCGGAAGACAATTAACTCTGATGTGTATATAAAATAATCTCCAGTGGTACTGCTGCAGTAGGGAAGCAGGAAGTCAAATACTCCAGATTAAAAAACAGCAATTGAGAATACCAGCAAAGAAGTTATTGCAAAACACATTAGCAATGCCTCTAAGAGAAGACCTTGAGCAGTCTTGCCATGAAGTTTTTGCATCCTGCTTACTTCCAGATCAACGGCTGACAAAATAAACATGTTACATGGTAAATGCAACTGAAAGAATCCTTAACGTTCTGGCCCAAAGCTGCTTTACAATCCAGCAGATGCAGCTATCTGAACTGTAGATATAAACAGTAGCTCTTTATATTATCTAAGATTGGCCCTCTAGGACTAGTACTTTCATGCGACTTCCCCACAAGGACAATGAAACTACTTCAAATGGCAGTATGCTGAACTGAGCATGAAGACAATTTGCATTACTGAAGTATTTGATGCTCCACCTTCAAATAGATTTCAGAATAAAAGTAAGAAGCTCTCTATTCTGAAGCAGTAGAACTCAGAACTGCCATACATCTAAAATACAGCCAGTTCCAAGAGCATGCTGTTTTTGTTTTGTTTTTCCAGGGTGATGGTGGTGAAGAAATCAAGTCAGATAGTGAGAGTGAAACTGTGGCGTTCAAAATGGTGGAAAAAGAAATGGATTTTACAGACCCTATAGTTATGCAGACGGTTCTTTCCCTTGTTCAACCCTAAATGAAAGGCTACTTGTCCATATTAGCAGAAGAGAAAGTGGGAGATTCAGGTATTCCAGCTAAAGGTAAGCCTTTGATAAAAGTCACAGCAGCCTCTCTGTCTCTCTAGATGGCTACAGAAACACACACAGACATTCAAACCCAGTCTTATGAGAGGAATACATAAAAAACATGTTTTTCGGCCAACGCGCAGAGATAGACCCAGTGCAAGAGCAACAAACACAAGCTGACAGTTCTGCACTGCTGCTCTCAAGTACAGGCTACAGCTCATCTTTAGCTTGGCCTCAGTACTGCCAAAAACAGCCCGTGTGCTACCTGCCAAAGGAGGCAGTGACAGCTGAAGCTGTTGTATTCGCTGCAGCTGCAACACAGGTAAGCCATGACTGAACACCAGCACTTATCCAGAGCATCTGTGCTCCAGCCTGAGCATGACACTATGACCAAATAAACCTTCCTATCACAATAAGCAGGTTGAGTAACCAAATCTGCTTTTACAGTTCTTCTAAATTTTACTCCTTAGGGCAGTTTGAGCCAGTGCACCATCAGAGGGCTGAGCATGGGGACATGCACAGGGAAGAAAGATTTTCTACAGCTGCCCAAAACTACATACAGCCATGAAATTCTTTATCAGCTGAGACAGTGCATCACAATAGTTTTATCTGCCTTTTGAGATGTGTGCAGCGATGTGATAGTGGCACACTTGGGCCTCAGAGCATTCCTACCTAGAGCAAAGCAAGATACATAGCATAACAATAAGCAGCACTGTCAATTCTTACAGCTGAGGCACTTAACTCACAGTCGAGGACAGCAGATGGCTTGATCTTTAGGTTATTAAACAGAATTCTGCAAACTCCAGGCCCAATTTGTGTCCTGAAAGCCGCAATGACAGAACAAGGGGCAATATTAATAAAATCCCAAATCAAGCACTGCTGCTGCGCTGTTTACCAAGCTATGCTGCCTGATGCAACTTTGCACAGCATGCAGGTATTAAGCAGAAAGTGCCAGCTGATTAAAGACCACCACAACGAAACTCAAGTTCAGCTGACAAAGTTGAAAGCCAATTTTGAGTGCTATGGCTACTGCATTGGTCCTTCCATGCTTGTTGCTTGGGAGCAAAAATCCACCTTAAAAAATGCTGTTATAACCAATGACAGAAAGGCTGTGCATTCACAGAACAGAAACCCTTACACTCATATTTATGATAATACAGAATGGCATCTAAGAGTAACACTTCTATATAGAAGTATATACTATATATATATTTTCTATATAGTATATAGGACAACACACAATATCCACTGAACTGTGCAATACCAGAACTTTCAATGCATTTAAAAAAAAAAAATCAAGTTATCAGAAAAATTATTCCATGCAGTGCTGATAAGATACAGAACATGCACTCTACTCTCCACTGATACCTGGATCTTTAGGATGTGGTCTAAAGTTGTGGTAAATCATGTTTGAGCCTGATACAAACTTATTATTCAGAACTAGGAATTTTTACCATAAGCATCAAAATATTTTTATCTGCCTCTGAGCTGCAGGGAGCCATTTCTTGTCACTACAGGTATTCTGTTCAGTATCATAAAGAAAATAAGTCAGAAGTGTGCTGAAGTGCAGCAATAATAGAAAGAACAAAACATCTTCATTACCTCTAGGCAGATCGTTGCCACTGGGATCACAAGAGTAAGGTGGAGGAATGGCACCAGCTTCTCCCATCTCATTGGCTGGAGGAAGAGGAGCTGAATAAATTGGGAATGGCAGTGAAGAAACTGGTACTATTAGAAGGAAACAAAAGTCAAGTTTACAATGGCTTCTTATTCGAGCAAGGAAAATGGTAAGTTACACAGTCAGGCCTGGACTTCCTTCCTTTCAGCTCAGTGACTAACTTCAATTCTCTTTAATAATTGCTTCCCTCCCACTTTAAAAGCAGCCCAAAAGAAATTTTAAAACCAGATAGGAAGGTTCCAATTTCAGATGCCTTAGCTGTTTGTCTGTTCTCAAGCTTCGTATTTCAGTTAAGAACAAACGTTTCTTTTTCAATCAGTTCTTCATACTAGAAGTAGGTCAGGCTTTTCTTACATAATTATCTGTCCTAGAACAGGGAACAGAATACTCTAAGCCATCAAAAGCATCACAATAAACCTACAAAAATAAGGCAACGTTCAAGTATCAGGCAGAAGTTTGTAGACAAATTTCTGTTGAATATTTATTAGGTGGCCCACATCTCTAGAACACTGGCAGGTTCCTCATAAAGCTGTCATCAAGTAGACAGCTTACAGAGAACTGCACCAACTGAACTCTCAAGTGCGAAAAAAAATAATCAAACAAATAGAAAAGTAGAAGGAGGGTTTCTTTTTTTCCCCTCATGCTAAACAAAAAGGTACGGAAACCAAGAAAAATCCTCTTTGTAAAAGGGAAGTCTTAAGACAAACAAATCACAAAAATGAACTGGATTCAGTGCTTGAACTCGTGACTCTTCTGGAAGATACAGTGAAACCTTGAAATTTGCACCAGTAGCCCAACATACCAGAAATTAACCATACAAAACAGGGAGAAGCAACCATGAACTTGTCTTTAAAAAGGAACCTGGTAGTGAAACACCTGGCACTGAAGGATAAAGACAGGTGGGGTGAGGGAAACAACCCCAGAGCAGAGACTGCCAGTTCCCATGCAAGAACAGAGGCAAGCATCCCCTTCAAAGCATGGAAACATGGAAGTCATCAGTAGCTGTGTAACTTTATTGCCATGTAATTTTCCACATTTATTTTGGATACGTGGAAACAAAGCAGGAGAGAAGGCGGCAACTGAAAGCTTAGACCATCAAAGACCAAAGCCTTAGCACACTCTACCTGGCCTCCCTACAGAAGTGGGAGATATAAGAACAGGTTGAATTGCTGTTTGTGGGGGAACAGCTGTTGTGACACTGGCTTGTGTGGAGGCAGAGTTTGAGGAGAAGACTGTAGGTGGAGCAGCATTAACACCTGCGGAGGTAGCGATTACTGCAGAGTTCACCATCACCTGCAAGAAAGTCAGAGTATTCAGTACACTACCTCTGTAACTCGCTGTGACAAGAGCTATGGAAACATCACAGACTCAAAAAGTTTTCACTTCACAAAAATGCATTTTGAAAGCTCTAGCTGTACAGACAGCTAGTTATCCAAGTTTCTCTAAAAACTGGCTGGAAAAATGCCAACCTAAAAATAACAGTAAGTTGCAGGAACCTGCAAACGCATCTTTTCACTCCATTATGCTGTATTTATAGAGGATTATATTCTTTGTAACAAAACCGTGTAAGAGAGGAAGAATAAAATCCCAAAGAGACCAAACACAGCAGTCATCCCTCCAAAGAGCTACCACAGTAACATACTACACGTTACCTTCTGGGGATAGCTGTAGGAAGCCACTCCATCTTGAGGTGACACAGCCAATGGCCCTTCTTCCTGAAGGGATTCCAAAGTAATGTTCCATTTTAGAAGCAGAGAAGTAACAAAACCACAAATGCTGGATTTCTAAGAATCTTCCAATTATGAACTACACTAAGCTCCTTTCGTAACTCATGAGAGATCAGTTTCATCTGATGTGCACAGGACTGGATTTCACACCCACTGTAGTTGAGCAGGTGAATGGAGAACTTGAAAGGTAGCCATTGACTAGTTTCAGATAAGAAAATTCAATGCCAGTTCTATCAAAGGTGAGATATTTTCCATCACACATTGGTGGAATGAGACTAACTAGTATATGACTTGACAAGAGGCATGGCAAAAGCAAGTGCTGTCTGGAACAGAAAAAGAAGTAAACAGTGCTCAGACAGTTGGCAGAGGGGAAAGATAGAAAGTACAGTTTAGATGTACTTATAAACTCCAACAAAAACCCTCACCATTTAAAAAGAAAGGAGATGGGAGGGGAGAACTAGAGAAGTAAAACTATCAATCCTTTGTGACAAAACCAGTTTCTGACCTACTATGTTAAGCCTGGTTCCAAAGACAGGTTCCATGAAGAATGCTACACATACCTGAAGATTAGGAATCTGAACAGGCAGGGACAAACACTTACCAAGTTTGCTGTAGGTTCTGCTGAACTAAATACTGCTGCCGTTTCACAGTCTGGATCTGAAAGACATAGGCAAAGTTAATAAAAAAAAATACAGCATTATATCTAATTGTTCAGAATCTTTTTAAAAAGTTGTAATGAGCACATACACCAAATGTAGTATCAGTAAAGACTAACATTTTATTTACCTGGAGGTGCATACAGATATTCTTCATGAAATTTCCCTAGAAGGGAGAGAACAGAAAGCTTTGATTCCAGAAAAATAGAAGTTCAAGCCAAAGTTACTAAAATTGTATTTCACTGCATTAATTAACTGAACTGCTTTCAATATCATCTTGTTTTATACAGAAAAATAGCAAGATCCAAGATCCTCTTCCCCATTTTGCTATTCCAGCAATATCAAGATTGCTATTGCCAGATCACAGAGCAGCTTGCCTTGCTACAAACCCATGTTATCAAAATAGTGATGTTCTAGCAAGCTTTAATGGAACAGTGACTTTTTTTTTCTTTTTTCTTTTTTTTTTTTAAAATCAGACAAAGATAACTAACTCTTTAAGAACTCACCATTTTCACTTGTTTCTCCTACATCCTCCTCTGAGGGATTCAGGGGCTGCTTGTTGGCTGGAACTGAGTTGGGGCCTCTTCTAGCTACCCAAAAACCTGCTGGACTGTGGACAATTGCAGTAGGGCTACCCTGGCCCTAAAAAGCAAAATAAGAAGTGTGCATTTATAAATAGTATAAGACTTTCCATATTTAACACACAGCCAAATAGAAACAGGCTGGAAAACCAAACTTGCTGTAACCAAAGCTTACTAGAATTCAGTTCCTCCATCCATCTCTTTGCACCCTGCACCCAGTAGGACATATTTCTCTTTTACCTTTCATTCCGCCTACCATCTTTTGCAAAAGTTATTTTTGAAGACTTACAGCTGTCCTACACGACAGGGTCAAGATGTGCTCAGAATGTAGCCAGCTCTGACCTTGGTTCAACCAAAGCTGAAAAAGGAAGCAGACCCCTACCAGCCACTCTCTACCTCCAGTATATACCCCTGTATTCCTCATCTTGAGGTACTCCCACCACACCAACAACCAATGAGTTCATCCAGAAATAGCACATGGCTGGCAGCTGGCGTAGCTCCCGCTGTTTGCACTAGCTGGATCCACACAGACATGCTTGTCATATTCAGAGAGCAGTGCTCATCACGTTTCCCACATTGTCTTTGTATAAAGCCAGCCCTTAGCTGGACAATTACAATCCAGAGTCCTCAAAAGGAGGAACATAGGATTATGAGAAGCATAAGTAAGAGAAACTGATTCACTCTTTTGTAATGACTATGATATTCACTCTCTCCTCAGAAGATAGGACAGCTATGAGACTGAAAAAGAGGCTTATAAGATCTCCAACAGTGAAGTACCGGTGTTGAGTCAGAAGATTCTCCCACCAGGCCTCTAGCAGGATCGCAGATTTTTCTGCAACAAACATTTATCCCCAGGACATGTTAAATTCCTTCAGTGAAGGAGACAGAAAAGATGCAGGGAAGAGACTTAGGCGTTGACACTAACAAAGTGCCTGAATGAACACGAAAAACTACTCATTGGATGCCACAGGTGTACAGCTTAGCAATGGGAAGGAAGAAAAACAAGCCAGAAATCTATCCTGATTTAATGGGAGGGGGAATGGAGAAGAAAAAGGAGCATTACAAGATATTGCCCCTACTTCTTGACAGCCTTGGAAGAAATAAGAGCAAAGATCACACATTTAATAGGCAGATGAATAAACAAAGGCTGCTGAAAAAACACTGAGCAGATTCATCCTCTCATCTATTTAAATACAAGTGTAACTTGTATTAAGCTTAGATAAAAAATGAAAGATTGATTTCACTGTTTAAAAATGTATTAGATTGAAGATGAAAGTAGCACACAATGAAGTTTTTAAAAGAAGCTAGATTTGGATTTTTCTCCCATCTCTGCAGCAGAAAAAATGGTTTCAGGAATGTTAGCCCAAAACATCTCAACTGTGAATTCCTAGGAATAATCTACGCTATCACTGTACAGCTTCTGAAACTAGTTACTCAAACCACAAATTAGGAGTACAGCGAAACAACTGAAGTACTACCTCCCGCAATACTTACAATCAGACAGACACTGACTGTAGGAAGGAATTTTTTCTCCCCCAAATCTCATTTTCAAATTGTCATGGGAAGTAAAAATACAGCCCTAATTTTATTAAAACACGCTAAAGAGAAAACAAAACAAATGCTGCTGGACAGAAAGAGGAACAAGAGAAAGAAAGGAAAAGCTTAGAAAACTAGATGCTTCAAGCAGAGCTTTCGAGATCTCCTCCAATTTCAGCCTTCCCTTCCCCTCCTGCTAAAGCTCATTCCAAGAAAAAAATAATATTTAATTATAATGCATAATTTTTTAAGAAGCTTTGAGAAGCTTCAACATACTCATCATTCATAACTTACTGCTAAAGCAGGAAAAGAAGTTTCATCCCCTTCTTCAATTTCATAGAAAGTTATTGTTTCTTCTGACCCTTGAGGCTCTTCTCCATTCTCTGGTACAAACCCATACTGACATTCCTTATTCACACACTGCATCTGACGGCGGCTACGGCTGTATGAACTTAAAAGAAAAAAAAAAAAGAAAGGTTAAGAATCACTGCTATCTGGATTTTTCACCTTAGTTTTGTTGCTTGATTTTAACTCTCTTCAGAAAGGCACAATAATCCCAGTGTTCAATACTGTGCCATTAACAGTTAACTCAGCCCTCTACATCCCTCTCCCACCACCCTCCCCAGCTCTTTTGGTGTTCAACGTTCTGTAAAGAGGTTTGTATGCACTTACCGTGACCTGCAGGAGAAACTGTCATAGCTCTGATAGCATCTCTTTCCTGGACTGGGGTAGAATGCTATTTGAGGGCCAACCATGTTGTGCCTGTTTATAAATCGGGCAGATCCCCTAAGTTTAAAGGGTAAAAGGTGCAATTACCAGGAAGTGCCTCTCAGATGGAACTCTTCTATAGAGTTATCTATTAAATAGCACAAGCTCTCTCCTAACTAGTCCACAGCAAGAACAGAGAACAAGCAGTAACCTCAGATAAGGCTTCATACCTTGGCATTCCAAATCCACGGTTATGCCTCTGGGGAGGATTCTGAGGATGATAGGGTCCATAAGGTGCCATGTTTCCACCACCCTGTGAACAGTGAACTGGAGGAGAGCGCCCTGAGGGAACACCATGCTGTAGCCGGGGTGGGAGAACTGGCTGGCCCCTACTATAAGCCATTGTCATAAAGACCTCCTTTCCACGAACTTTCTTAAGCAATCTCTTCCGTGTTTTCACATCCATTTCTGCAGTTTCAGTTAAGGACAGAAAACAAAAGTTTATACTTTAAGCAGCTTACTCTAGAGCTATGTTTTCTTTCTCTCATTTGAGAAGAGTCATTATTTAGATATATCGAAGAGAATCAACAGCCTATTCCAGGGCAGGGAAGAAGCATCCAAAACACACAAACTTCATATCCTCGTTTTGAAGAGCCTAACATGCATTCTGAACTGCATACAAGCACCTCGCTCACATGAACACATTCCCAGTTTCAACTGATCAAACCAGTATTTGCAGTATTCAAACACCTTCCTAAAAGCTACATTTATTCAATCAGAAAACCATTCTCTAAACAAAACAAATACAATTCCTGTTTACTTCAATAGCAAAACTCTAATCCTTCCATACACCTCTTCTAAGGCCAAATCTGATATACTTTTTGGCTCACGGATCGAATCTTCATAAATAGTTCTCAAATGTCAAAACTCTTCTTAAAATTCTGAGCAACATGAACCTTTCTGTGTATTTTCAAGGGGTTTGCTATTTTGCATATGGAAACTCAACCTTCTGTCTGAAGCATCAGTTTACATGAAGTCCTTGTCACAACTAGATTTTATATCACAGGCCAAGTTAAGTTACTTTCAACATCTAGAGACTGGTATTGCTAAAATTTGTCCTTCCCTATCCTACCTCTCTCTAAAGGAAGGAACACCTCTGGAAAACTTGTACAAACCTATTCCTGAGAAGTATCCACCTGCTACTTTCTGATAGCTTCCTCCTTTTCGGCTGGGAACCACATTCCAAGCAAGGACAGGTGCCACTTGTGTCACTGGTTTTAGGTTTGCCAAAGGAACGGTATGCCTACATGAAAAACACTCATGTTAGCAGCGCTGCAAGAATACATTATGTGCAGGAACACAGCAACATATGCTGAAGCAACACTACAAAAAAGAAAATAGGGAAAAGGCAAAATCATTGACTATAGGGAGCTTCGGGGGAATAAAAAAAACCTTGTTCTCTGAAGCACGTATTACTGTTACTTGTATATTTTGTACATTAGAAAAGGTAAGGTAGGATTCAGTCCCAGCTACTGACTTCACAGGTCAAGCCCTTTTTCCCTACATTGGTATACCTTCAGAAGTCCGTCCGGAAGGAATTAAAGAGACAGAATTTCTGCAAAATGTAGGTAAGCCTAACTGCAGATTTGGAGAAGGGCAAATGCTTTGAACAGCAAGGTGGTGAGTGTGATGAGATTCATCATAAACATCCATTATTTTCTGGGATTACAACATAAAAGCTTCAGAGAAACTGGTAGCAGTGAATAATTTGCTATCCAGGAGTTATGCCCAAACTGCAGAGATTCTTGAGAAGAATAAGACTCCACATAAAGCATCATAATGATTTCTGCTATTTTAAACAAGTGAATTTTTCCTGTAACATCTTAGTTGAAGAGAGATAACCAACAAAGAAGCAAGTCTCCCTCTAGCAGCCACAATTATTTCAAAGCCTCATTTCTCTTTTCTTCTTAAAGTATCTTAACAACCCTATCTTAACCATCTGTGACTGCACAGACTCCACTATAAAAAGTTCAGACATGAAACTGTCACCAGATTGCTTACTTTTCTGCCAGCTCCTCAATGAAAACAGTCACCGTGTTGCCATCCTGCCCAACTTCCTGGATATGAGCATTGTAATACTTACCTCCAGGATCCAGACGCACCTGGAGGGAGAACAAGGGAAGCCCTGAAAAAACTAAACAGCATCAGGGGACCAAATACTGCCTACAAACCAGCAAAGTTCCTACCCCCTAGCTGATTTTATGTTATGAACTGGGCTCAGCAATATCAAATACTAACAGACCAGGCAAGATAGACAGCACCATACTACTTTAAGAAAAGAAGGAAAAGAAACAGTCTTGCAAGCAATGTGTAAACTCCTGTAAAACAGGCTTAAGAAGATGGATTTCTGCCTTCTAACTTACTTTCACACACTGTGTCAAACAGATAAGGACCACTATGTAAGAACTTGAGCAGAACAAAATATAAAGCAAGAAAGCTCTAGTGAGCAAGAAGAGTCACTAAATGACTTATCAGCACCACCTCAAAGTGATTTTAAGAAGTACATCTTCACTACATACAACATGAGAACAAAAGGGAAGTTGACTTTGATTTCAGCATTTCCCAGCCACTCTTCTCTTCCCTCTCAGTTACTTAAAAGAAACCTGCTACGTTACCACTGAGAAGCAGAAGACTGGACAGACTTGCTGGTGACTTCCAGTGAAAATCTAATAGACAACTACCTCAGTTTTGCACATACTTTGCACTTTGAGCTCCCAGTGCAGAACCTCAGCACTCACATTATTTGTATCACTGGTTCTCAATGAATTTCCAAGTAGCTTTTCATTCACGCCCAATATTTAAAGAAAGATCTTTAGGAAGAAATTTAATTAAAAACTAAAATAAAATTAATAATCACAAGACAGAAAATGAGAAAAGCCCTGGAAGATTCTATGAAGTCATTTCATGGATTACCATGCTCCATGTGAAGTAGCTTTAGTAATTTACCATAACTGAACCTCCTTTGAGTACTAACCTGACACTTGTCTCCTAAATAGTACTGTCTCCCCGCAAACACCATGTAGTCAGTTTTTTGAAGCTCTAAAAACAAACGAATAAATAAATAAAAAGGAGAAAAGCCTAATAAATACTGTTCTTTCTTCAAGTACCCTATAAATACTTCATGATGACTCTCAATTACTAATTAAAGGCCAGGTGTGTTAACATTCCCTATATATATATAAGCATTCCTCACCATAATGATGAAGTAACTCTAGTTGTTCTTAGACCATAACTACCTAAGTCATAAGAGATTAACAATATCTAGCTGATGAAGTAGTAGGCCTACTTAACCTACGTACTGCAATGCTTGTGCCCTTTATGATGGTACTGTGTTAATTCAGCTTTCTCCCTTGTTTTCAGACTTCAATCTTTTCTCCCTCCCCCCTCCTCCCTCCATTCCCTGCCCAGGTTCTCTGTATATCAGTACTCAACACAGATAATTAGTTACAGTACTCCATTTCAAGAATTTAATGACAATCATTGTTACTTATGCAGCTGCGAAGATGCTGGAGTTCTTCAGTATGCAAAGCTCTCCAGGTCAAATATCAATGATGCAACTTCAAAATTCATCTTCCTTGGCAACTTGTTCACACACCAGCCACAGTGTATTGCCATAAAACAGCAACTATTGAACCCACAAAGACCACAAAATCTCTCTAGGATGCTCAAGCCCAGGAGAGCTGGGAAGCAAAAGACAACTCATTTCATGTGACACATCTCACTGCTAAAGTTGAGACCTTCATTATGACAGAACACAATCTAAAACACTGCTTTAGGAGTCCTCAGGCATACCATTAAAAATAAACACCTGTAGGCTCAAATTTGGATGACTCCCAGCACAACTGAATAGTAACACAGAATTCTGTTCTGTACTCTGCCTTGAGTCTTGGTATTTCCTACATTATAGCCATTAAGCATCAGGCATCACATTTTTAGTAACCTTACAACCATTATACAACACCAAGAACAGGACCTGGTATTTTGAAATGAAACCAAGAAGTAGCTCTGGTAAGAGGACATACAACCTACAAATATCAAGTGGATTAACTAATATCCTTCATACCTCAGCTGTGCTGAAAGAAGGTGTCAAAAGCATCAGATTCATACATTTAATACTGAGCTCACAGCAAAAATAAGGTTTGGATTTAAGGACTTTCTGATTTAAAGATACCTTTTCTGCTGTCCAGCCAAACATCAAATTCCACATTTCGATAAATCTCTGGGTCCAAAGCCTTCAGCACTTTGTAGGGGAAAGGCATTTTTGAGGAATTTTCTGGAGTCTAGAAATAGAGTTGAAATGAGCTACCATTAACAAGCACATTTAAAATGTTCAGCATAATCTCTATTCTACCAACTATGGACCATTCGTCTACACCCAAATTCCCCAAACTTTCACTTCTACTATGCAAAATAAAGACCAAGAACATAAACATGAATTTAGGAATTGAGGATTGTTCAACTCAGAAGCTAAGCTGACAGACTACAGAAAGATCAAAAACAGTCTTAAGAGAAACACTCTGCATTCCTTCAATTCTTTCTGAGTGAAGAGAAACTAGTTAGACCAATGGAGCCACAACTTAAAAATTGGTGGGAATTCCAGTTGTTATATCTGGAAACAGGCATCTAAAGGCCTTTTAAAACCTGTTCCAAAGATATTTACACTGTGCTCAAAATGAAAGTGGGCTGACTTAAGCCACTTTTCAGACAAGCAAACAGCAGACCAGGAAGTGTCTGCTGAGCTCAATTTCTGGAGGGAAAGAAAAAACCCAACAAGCCAGACATCAGCTATAAAAGAACAAGAGGATCTCAAAAAGGAGTAAGGCTTATCCAATTCAAGAAAAACTGGCACAAAATCAAAAGACAGGCAGACAGAAAGAAAAAAAGGAAAAAAAAAAAAAAGCAATCTGCTTTCAAGAAGTTATTTTTAAGAAGTAGAAACATCACCCTAACGTGGGTAACATTCTGCAACAACAGGAGGAGAAAACACAAAACACCCAACCACACACAAGAAATTCTTCCCTAATTGCCAAACCTTTGCTTCTTCAGTGCCTTGTCTGAACTTATCTTCCACTGGATTGTCAGTATCATTGCCTTCCCAGTCATCACCTCTAAACAATTTAAAATAAGATTACAAACGATGCAATGCATAAGTTCTAAGAAGGGTTAAAATAACTAACTTTTCACAAAACCTGAAAAAAGCACCATAGTGCCATCAAGTGGCAGATTTTGCCTGAAACAAAGGCTGTAAGGGAGCAGAGGACAAGTCTTTTCCTAGTTTTAAGATCATGACCCTTACCACCCCCAAACCTATCCCTAAGGATAGCCACTATTTGCATTTGGAAAGGATGAAGATGACCCCACTGAATACATCTGAACTCTCACTGCTGACTATTACACCACTCTGCTCCAGGCACTACAAAACCAGTGTCAGCTGAAAGCTTTCACTAACAGACACACTTTGCCTCAAGCCTTTGTGGTGACTTGTGATTAAAGAACATCAAGGTTTTCGGCAGGTATGCTCGCTGCTTCCCCTCACTCCAACGGATCCAGCAGACTTCAACGATTCCCCCATTTAATTGTCTATATGGGGTACAATTCAATTAAGGAAAAAATACAAATAGGTAATTTTCTCAATAAACTGTTGCCTGTACAAAGCTAAAGAGGCTGAGGAAGCTAGTAGGTCTCTCATCAAGAGAACTCTGATGACAAAGGGAAGATTTTATTTACAAACACTCATTTTACAAAGTTGCATGCAAATATAACACAGCCAGTAGCAGAGGATGTCCAATTCCATGACAATACTAAGCTCTGAAGTACACTGTCTCTTCTACACCACACTTCAGCTTTGAGCCTGTGCCATGAAACACTGTTAGTACCACGTGCGCATTCAAAGGAACTTGGAGAAATCAGCCTACTAACACACTGCCCTTAGCAAGGTTTTAAACTTTATTTATTTCAACATTTCCCTGCTACCATACAATCCCCCATCAAACACTACCTCTTTCCTGATGGATTTCTGGGTACTTTTTCATGAAGACAATCGAAGTTTGTATCCTCGCTTTCTACACAGCCACTGTTTCTGTTCTTCTTGGAACCACTTCGAAACATCTCAACTGCAGACCTTAATTCTTCCTCATCCATGAGGAACACATCTTTGTAGAGGATTTCATATAATACAGCTGGACAAACCAAGACAAAGCTCAGAACAAATTAATATCAGACGTACAACAGCTCCTATTTTCAAGGTAAGCATATCTTTAGGCAATATTTAGGGTTTACAAAACACTTTTAAAAAAAAAAAACAATTTACAAAACACTAAATATATTAAATTCAATTAAGAAGAAGATCATAAAATAATTCAGGTGAAAAAAGACAAATGGAAGGCACTTGGTTCATTATGCTACTTAACAGATAAGTATACTGAGAGTATGCGTACATTAACACAAAAAATGAGCTGCCATCTCTCGCCCTCCCTGTCTCTGGAAACCAGAATAAGCACAGCCTATAAACATACAAAAGCACACAGTTCTCTTTCATAATAAAACAAAACACAACACAATGATTTCAAATTTACCCTGGCAAATAGCAGCATTTGCTTGAAATTGTTTTGTATACACAGAGTCATAATGGCCATTGCCAGAACAGCACAGTAGTATCTGGGAAAATAAAGAAGACAAACTTTAAGGATGGAGAGACATAAAACCCAACACTCCTTACTTGATATTCTAGTTCACGTTCTATTGCATTCAATAGGCAACGTGAACTTAAGGAAACAGTAAATCTTCCAAAGATGAATATGAAAGAGCTGTACAATCAGTTTAAAACTGGATCTTATGAATTTATTTACAAACTTTACAGCTACTATATAAACAAAAACCATTCTTTTGTATATCACAATGCATTAAACAATAAATAACGTCTGTTTCCAGTTCCGCTCTGAAACCATCAGCTGCTCAAGAGGTAAAATTACCATTTATAATTATCATAAATTAAGTTACCATTTAAAACTACCATTAAAAAACAAGCCATCAAATGCAGAATCTATGAAGCACACTGTGCAAGTGTCAAAGGCACACTTCCACACTTCCCCACTGGATGGACCAGAAGAGCACCTGCTGCTCTAGCCGCCCTCCGGAAGTTTTAATAAGTTTTGCTCATACTAATCAACTTTACACTGCAGAATTTTGAGAAGCTGCATGCTTTCTGCAATATATGCACTGATACACATAGAAGATGCATGCTATCACATTCCATCTCAGCACAAGGCCACGAATAGGTAACTGCAACTGGCAAAAGCCCTTGTGCAGCTGTTGTTAGCACAGTGCCAGCAAGGATGCCTCCAGCCACCCAGTAGGATTCGAGATGCCAGGGCTCTTAATTCCATGTGCCTTCTGTTCTAGCAACACAGTCTCTCATCTCATGGTGAAATATGCAAAACCAGAAAGAACTGTAGTGCAGTCTAATAGCAGACAACTCTTAACAAAAGCTCTGGTGGTAAAATCTTTGAGGACAAATGCTCACTTAGACCATACTGCCTGATTTTTAAAGTTAGTGGATTTTGGAATGAGGTTAATCTACACAGAGGAAAAGAATATTTCAAGGGCAAGTGAAGCCCATATAAAGATAGCAGTGTATTAGCCAAGAACAGAAGAGCTAAAGCTGCACAGATTTCAGAACACGCTCACCATTTGAGCACACATAATAGCCCATCCAGAAATGTACACTGCAGCAACTTCACTGGCAGCACACTTGAGCTATTCACATAATTGCATGGGCATATCAATATAAGTCCAGAAAAAAACCAAAAGGGGTCAGATGGGATGTAATACAGAGCATTTCTTGTATAAGTTCCCTTTTTTTTTTTTTTTAAGCTGTTTCATTAGCTCCTTCTTAATGGAACTTGATCTATCATGTCAGCTAAATGAGTCACTTGTTATATTAATCCGTTTCTATCAACATCCCCTCTTCAGGGAGAAAACCTCCACATTTCAGCTGACTTTTAGATGAGAGGCACCAGGATTGGGGAGAATGCCTTCTCACATATGCTCTATTTAGTGTATACACTATACTTAGTGCACATCTCATTCTGCTCTTCCAAAACTCAACCTGGGTATCTCACTGTATCTAGTCAGTTCAGCCCACTTTCCACTAGGAAGTGTTTTCACTCAGCAAAAATTCAGAAAAATGAAATAGCATTCTGGAATTATGTTACCTCTTCCCATTAAAATTAGACTTGTTTCCAACAATGAGCAGTTGTTATAAAAAGATCAACAGGGGAACAGCACACAATCAACCCTCAGTAGCAAAGGTACTACAGTTTGATTAAATCTTGTGCAAATAATGTGCTTCTACCATGAGCAGAAGTCAGCTCTGGGAGTTTGTTCTTAAATGCACAAGGGAAGACTGAGTTAGAGCACAACTCCAGTAGGAAGTTTTCACAATTAAGTGGGACCAGAGGTATCTAGGAGTCAGGGGTAGGGATAAGAAATTGCCTCAGTTCTCCTCACCTTGTCTTCAAAGCCATTGTCTGTAGCATAAGTGGGTGGCCTTCCAGGGTACCGGTACAGAATAAAGTCTCGACTAGGTAAGCAGAGGAAAAATAAGTCTTGAAAGGGTGCACTTTCAGAAGTGTATTATAAAGAAGGCTGAAAGGAGCAGTCTGGATATTCCACTGTTTTTTTGTTTGTTTTTTTACAGAGAAACACTGAATCAGAACATTTTCCCTGACAAATGAGTGCTATCATAAAGCAAATGCTAGATGAGCAAATGACACTCATCTTGTGGAAAAGAATCTGGAAAGGACAGCTACATCTAATCATAGATTATTACACCCATCGTGTTAGATCAAGTACTTATACCCAATGGCAGAGCGCCCAACCAATAAAACAATTAAATTCAGATGATTCCATCACACTTCAGAAGGATTACAACCTCAATATAGGAATCTGGTTACGTCTTGCAAAAGTTCCATTTGCTCCTTCAGTAAGGAAACAGAACCAGCCTGCAAAGAAAGCGTTCTTCCTTTTAATCAGTGGAAATTCATTGTGCTTGTACAGGGACAGCAGCATTCGTTTTTAACTAGACCACCAGCACCTGTACAGGCTTATGCTGCCCTTGAAGAAAGCAGTAGGCGTTCCACATTGAGCAGAGCAATCGTTCCACACAACTAGAGCTCTCAAGAACACCTACACTGAGTTTTAAGCCTGCTTCTAACTACCGCAGCATTCCACTACACAGAACTCCTACTTCTTTCACCTGCTCTCCATTCCTCAACCAATGAAAGGCAACACTTTACTGAGTTTACGATTAGTTAAAGAATAACAAATACTACCGGAAACTAAACTGCCCCTTAATCCACCCTATTAGAACAGGAGCTGTGATGGCACTCATTTACAAGTTAATTGAACTAACTTCTTTAGGGTTGCATTCTTACTATGTTTCGCAAATGAGTGCTCCAGCAACAAACAAAAGGTTCCGGGGGGGAGGGGAGAAAAGGCCAGAACTCAAAACAACTGACAGTCTAAAACAAAGTGAAACTTTAAAAAAAAAAAAAAAAAAAAAAAAAAAAGAGAGAGAGAAAGACTTACTTGTAGATCACTGATAAAGCACTTATTTCCAGCTGGCCAGCACTTTCCTATGTGGGATTAGGAGATTACAAGAGGTAGAAGAGCCATCTTCAACACTAGGAACTCTATACTAGCTCTCCATAGTATTGAAACAACAATAAAATTTAGTTAAGTTTATTCAGATAAATTCAGTTAGATAAAGCAAATAAACAATGAACTGAGAGTTAAGACATCAGGATACCCAGGAAAAAAAAATGTATTTCTCCAGTGTGGAATGGCCATGGTTACCAAACTGATGGCTAAAGATAATTCTGGCAGCCACCCTTAAATACAGCACTCAAGAATTGTGGGGTTTTTAGGTTTTTTTCAATTGAATTTTTTTTTTTTTTTTAAAAAAAAAAAAAACACTGTTTCAGAGACTGCAGTGTTTACCATACTTTCTAGTTTAAGAGTATAAAGAAACAAGAATTAGAACTGTACATTTCAAGGCTGAGGCGAAGGAAGAAAAAAGGAGCTGCAGAGTCCTGTAAACACATATGATATGGTATAGAGCCCATATTTTCCTTTTTTTAAAAAAGGAAATTGCAGCTACAAATAAGGCCTACAAACATGCCTCAGCTTTATTTTCCACTCTGCACTGATAGCTTCTTTGCACCTAAATTCACCACTAAAACACACACACACACACATATGCATATAAATACTCATTACAAAAACACAATATTCCCTATGGAAATGAAACCCCAGGACTGAGGTCTATCTAGTGAAAAAAAAAACAAACGGTATTGAAAACATTATCCAACTACTTCCCTGTTCTGATCATCTCAGAATTTAATATCTACACAAGTGCTAGAGCGTTCTTACCTTTGGATCTCCCAATCGTTCAAGGTATTTCTCAAATGATCCCTCCACATACTTTCAAGAAAAACAAAAAAGAAAATAAGAACTTAGCCAAATTAAACAAACAAAAACGTGTAAAACTAAACATTGTGTCAAAGAAACATCATTACTGGCTGTTGAACAGGACATCCACTGCTGGCTGAGAGAGCAGGGGTATGCACAGAGCAAACACAGCACTGGTCTCTCAAGCCGTATCACTTCAGGCTCTGGTCTGCCTGGGGAATTACTTCAGCTGTTCCCTGTCTCAGGGCACGAGGACGATTCGGGTGTATCAGGGTAGAGAGATACCAAGAGGTCCTCAGAAGCTTAAGAACATAAGTCTGAAAAAGACTCAGCAATTCATTTCCCTCCTAGATTAAGCACTTAAACTGACTGCAGGGAAAGAAAAAAAACCCGTGGCCCTAAAACTGCACAACCCGAGAAAACATATCTCAGCTGTTCTGTTTTCGTTTCTCAGCACCTGAATTGTGGCATCATTAATTAAAACGTCTCAACCTCAGCTGCAGGCAAGTGCCTCCCTAGCCGAAGGGTGACTGCAAGTAAGCAAGGTACAAAACATTAGAGAAGTTGGCACGTTAGAGAAGTTGCTATTAAGATTCTGAGAATCATAAAAACAAAGCTATTCTGCAGAGGACCATAGAACTTCACCCGCGGTTTGCGTTTTCAAGGGAAACCTGGAACCCTGTACCAGCCCAGAACACAACCAGGACTGCAAGCTATCTGCTGCTGACATTTGTGGGTCCTCTGTAGGTAACTCCTGTCTGCGACTAGCAAATAGCAGAAGCATCTCAACGCTGTTAGGATCGTAACAGCACTACGGGTTTCTCACATCATCAGTTCTATGCTGCTTGTGCCACAGATGACGTCCTACACGAGTAACCTCTGGCCACCCAGTTCATATCAGCAGCTTTATGATTTCAGGAGCTCCAGCACCACGAGGCGACACGGAACACCTCCCAGCCACACCGGGCTGAAGGCAGCACGTGTACACGGAGGTGCTCACGGCCAGCCGCCCCGCTATTTCCAATGTACGTTCGCTGAAGCGCACAAAAACACACAAACAACCAGTACTTACGGATTCAAAGTTACGCTGATTTTGCCTCATAAACGAGACGCAAGCTTTCCTCACCTCCATGTGATGAATTTGGCACAAAAACAGCTGAAAAACAACGTTCCGTGAGAACGAAGGAGAAAGCCGCCGAGCAAACTGTCTCGCCGCTCCCAGGGCCGGCAGCGCCAGGCGCCGCACCTACGGACGGGCGGCCCCACACGCGCTCCCGCCCGGGGCGCATCCCCCCTCACCCCCCAGCCGACCCCGGCCCGCCGAGGGCCCCACCTGCTCCGAGATGGCTCTGAAGAGACAGGAGGCGTCCTTGGCCGTCAGCTTGCGGTACAGGCCGAGACTGCCCAGGTACTCGTCCATAGTCACCTCGCTGAGCGACTTCTGCCCGAAGTACTTCTTCCAGCCCTTCTGCATCGTGCCGGGAAGGCGGCGGGGCCGAGGCTCCTCGCATAGCACTGGGGAGGGCGGCGACGGCCGCCAATGAGGGTCGACGCTCGGCGCGCCCAGGTGCGGCCGCTCCCGCTGTCGGGCCCGCCTCGAGCGCGGGGATCTCGTGCCCGGCTCCGTGCGGGGGCCGCTGCTGCCGCCCGCCCCCTGCTGGGGTTGCACGGCGGAGCTCGTTAGGGAAACGCCTATACCTGCTCGTAATTGCGACTAGAAGCTGCGCTCGGGCATGAGAAGCGCCGGTTCAGGAGTTTGTTTCGCCCGTCTTAAGTGTAGCAAGAAAACCACCAAACAAGGTACTGCTAAGACGGGCCGCCAGCACCGCGTACACGCGCAGTTCTCTCGCCCTGCACACCGAGTAGCCCGCACGGACGTTGTGAAGTTCAAACCCTCTTTACTTTTAAAAGTCATTACCCGGATACATCGATGGCAGCAAAACAGTTGAATTTCCTTACATTAAATAGGAAGCTCCAGTCAGCGTCGAGCAACCAAGGCGTTTCCCTCACCGCAGCCAAATAGGTAACGATGCGATAACGCGCCCTTTCAGCCCCATTCTCCTCCTCCCATCGCCACGATTTACTCAGAAGGCAGCAGTTAATTACCCACGCCCGGCCTCTCAGCTCAGCACGTTCCCCTTACATCTTTCACTTAAGTTCTCTTTCCACTCCCAGTGTAACCACGTGAAACAAGAGCATCAACAAGGCATCCACAGAACCCAGCAGGAGGGCACAGCCATTAGCACTAGGCAACGAGAGCCGATACACCGCTACCTGCAGACTCTCTGCTAAGAAACAAAATTGTTTCTAAATAGCTTGCTCTCCATAGAGGCATTACCGAGGTTTTGGCGACGCACATAACTGCTGGCCCACGGAGACACCCGGTCTCCTGACTGAGCAAGCACTGGCACACAAGACTGGCTTAGACAAGTTATTAAATCTTGTTCAGAAAGTGAACAGAAAGAAGAAAAAAGCTGTATTTTTCAGTACCGAAATATCACTAAAGCATGTGTATAAAATCGAGAATAAGTTGTATTTATGAATTAGTTTTGTATGCTTTTTTAGTGAGTTATTCTCACAGAAATACATTATTTTCACAGAATTTAGTTTGTGAACTAGTCACAGAAGACATACACATTCTGTTGCAGACACTGTTTATTAAAACATTGTGGTTATGAAAGAAATGCCCCTTAATCCTGCAAAATAAACTTCTGCATTGTTTCTTTCACATACTTGTTGCACATTCAAAGTAACCCAACTAAACTGGGAGAAGATCAAACCTGACCATTCACAAATGCCTAGCACTGTCTATACAAATACTAACATTTGTCCAAGATTACTGTCCTTAGAGTGAAACTGAATGCCCTGGTAACACTACTGCTGTGCACAGAATTGCTTGCAGGAAGATTTTACAAAAGCTGATCCTTATGCAGTAAAATTCTAAATTGTGAATTACCCCTTCAAGGCAAACAATGAAAACAAAAAATTCAACTTGCAAAAGGAAGAAGCAAAGGATGATTCCTTTCTCTAAACCATGCTCTGATCTAGCTTTAGCTTTAACAGTAGCAAAAGCAAATGAGACTGGATGCTACATGTCCTGTCCAGTATTCGTGACTTGCATCATCAGGATCTACATTCACAGGACTCCAGCTGAATGAAACATTATTTCACGTTTTTCATTGGTGCAAACTTAGGTCAGGTATTTCACTCTTCATTTCTTCTAGGACATCTCTTAATTGCCTGACCAGCAACTCCTCTAGAATGGATGTGTTTATATTTACAAATAAATAAACTAATCAAGAAGTCCAAATATGCTTCTTCTTCTACCAGGTCAGTCAACTTGGAGTTCATACTCTCCCCTCCTTTTTGGCATGTGCTCTTTTAAGCATTAATATAGATTACTTTGAACTGGAACTGAACTGGAAACCATCAGTTGATATTAACAGGCATTTTCTTTGAATTTGTCCCAGCTGGTGGAATCTTTAGGCATGGAAGGTCTCACTGAGAGATGAGAATGGTTTTATTATGGCCTTTTTATTCCTCAAAATTGTTTATTCAAACCCAGCAACTTTATCCAAAAACAAAGCAAACTTTTCTGGTTGTCCAGGAGGAAAAGGTTTCAAAGCTGACAAGTCCATTGACTGCAGTGTCTCCACAAGTGTGCTGTAAAAACAAATGAAACAAACAAACAAACAAAAAGTTCATTCCAAAGGAGATTTCCCTCCCTGCCCCTCATTTTCTTTCTTTCATACTACTTTAACACTGAAACATGTTCTTTCAAACTACTATAAAACTAAAAATAAGGACTTAAGCTGAAATGAAAAAAGACTGCATAATTTGTGAGCCCCAGCCATCACTTGCAGAACACACATCAACATAAGGCACAGCTTTCATGGGCCACTCAGCTCTGACTTTTTAGTCTTCCATGGCTGCAATGATGGTAGACTGAATAAAGCCTGAGAATCTCCCAGTATGGTTTATGGTGAATTCATCCCATGTGAATACATGGCATTAGTCCTCCACTCAACACTGCCAGAGATAACAGCTGAATAAATCTGTTAGCTTTCAATTATCAGACTGCAAATAAGTTCAAATGCTAAGCACTGTTCAAAACTGAAATAAAAATGCCTTTCTGTTCCCAAGTTACAGACCTTTGGTTATAGCTTTTCTGAAACATGCAAAATCCTATTTGCAGGGCAAAAGAACGAGATGCAGAATAAATAACAGGAATTGCATTTCCTCTGCTTTCAGTTAAAAGGCCATTTGTTGTTTACAGAGTGCAACGGATCATAAACAATCATAAATAAAGGGAAAACAGCCAGATATGGTCAAAAGCAAGATAGCAAATGAAACTAATAGAAGCCAGGATGAATACAAACAAAAGGAGCTGCACTTTTCTTTTTTTTTTTCCTTAAGTGAAGATAGCAAGTCAGTGAAATTCCCCGTCAAACAATGTGATATGGTGGATGGACAAAATTTGGTTAAAAGGACAACTTGCTAAGTACATGGAAGACAGGCGTATTTGAAGCTACTAACCCTACAGCTTGGGTCATTCCTGAATCAAACTACTCAAGTGTTAGTGGGAAAATAATAGAAGGAAATGCTTGTTGTTCTTGTCCTATACATGGCCACTGCAGATAGGATACTGAGCTTCATGGACTCCTGATCCATATCAGTAAAGGCCATTCTTATGTTATTTTTTTTCCTAAATACTCCAGATATTTTCATTTTTTCTTATGCAGTCAACTTCAGCGCACTTCAGAAGAGAAGTCTACATGACAATACAATTAAATTGAGTACTAAGTCTGTAGGGAGCAGGTTACTTCTTGTAGCTTGTGGTTTTCAACTGTTGGTTATAGTAGTTGCAGGATTGAAAAAAGTATTAAACAGGAAAGAAAGGACAGATAAAATGAGTTAACAAAATCACATAACTGCAAGGGTTAAAAGGGACCTCTGGACATCATGAAGTCCAACCCTTCTGCTAAAGCAGGTTCCCTACAATAGGTTACACAAAAAGGCAACTTGGCAGGTCCTGAAAATTTCCACCACCTCTCTGGGCAGTCTGTTCCAGTGCTCCATCATTCTTACAGTAGAGTTCTTTCGCATGTTTTTATGGAACTTCCTGTGTTCCAGTTTCTGTGTTGCTCCTTGTTCTATTGTTGCTCACCACCAAATGGAGTCTGCTCCCATCAACTTGACTCCCACACTTCAGATATTTATAAACAGTGTTAAGATCCCCTCTCAGCCTTCTCTTCTCCAGACTGAACAACCCCAGGTCTCTCAGCCTTTCCTCATACAGGAGATGCTCCAGGCCCCTCATCATCTTTGTGGTCCTCTGCTGGACTCTTTTTTGAACAGGGGGGCTCAGAATTGGACACAGTTCTATATGTGGCCTCACCAGGGCAGAGTAAAAGGGGTAGAATCACCTCCACTGACCTTCTGGACGTACCCTTCATGATCTGACCCCAAGATACTGTTGGCCTTGGTCACAAGGGCACACTGCTGGCTCACAGCCAACTTCTTATCAACTAGGATCCCCAGGTCCTTCTCCCCGGATCACTTTGCCAGCAGGTCACCCCTAACCTGCACAGGACTCTGTCTATGGAAAATCTACCCTGCAAATAAATGAAAGACAAGCACCCCTGAGATCTGCGCCCAGTGAGGAAGCTTACTGAGGTACATGGTTAGTGTGATTTTGTTACAGAGAAAGATGTAAGTTTTCTTGCTACATTCTCAATACTGTAATAACAGTTATGCCCCTGAGCACTGCATTGGGTTGGACAGCCACAGCAGCTCCATACCTGCAGTTACAATAGAGGACGTGTCCATCTTTGTGGAGCTGACGTGCCAGCTCCAGCTGATGATTGTCCATCAGCTTCTCATTTATCACCACAAGCAGCGGCTTTCCTTCCTCTAGAGTCTCCAAACAGCTACCTGCACCTGCAGGAGAAGCAGAAAGCAATCAGCGTTTGCAGCTGATTGAAACATCGCCCTACTCGCTCCTGAAGCATCAGAGACTCCTGAACGTGAACATTTTATCCCCACAACTTTCCGCCGCGGACACGAGCATCCAATGCCAGCTCAGCCCGGTGTCTCACAGCGCAGGCCACCACCAACCTCCCCGCCCGCCCCCAGGAGCACACCTCGGCTACCCGCCGGGCCCCACCTGCGTGGCTTATGACCAGGTCGGCGCTCCGCAGATCCTCAGTCAGCGACTCCTTGAAGCGGAACACCTCCCGCACGAAGGCCGGGCCGTGCTGAGGGGCGGGCTGCAGCGCGCCCCGCCCGATCTGCAGCACCAGCTGGCGGCAGCCGCGGCTCCGCAGCACCTGCGGCGGAGGAACGGAAGCAGAGGATAGGCCACGGCCCAGGACTGCCAGCGCCTCCCGTTCCCTGCGGAACGACTCCCACCTCCCGCCCATCCGCGCGGCTTCGCGCTTCTCCCCCACAGCCGCCCCGCGCAGGCGCACGGCTGAGGCACGGCCGTGAGGGGCGGGCTGGGACCCTCCTTCTCCTCCTCCTGCCGTTCCGCCTCCTCACCTCCTCGGCCGCAGGGGAGGAAACGGCCGCGATCAGCTCGTCGAAACTGGTAGTGCCCACAGTGACGAAGACGGACTTCATGGCCGGCGACAGCACGCTCCGCCGGCGGTCGAGCTGTGCCTCAGCTGCGGGCAGACGGGCGCCAGAGGGCGCTCCAGGCCCGTTCCGGCGCTTCCCAAAATGGCGGGCGGCTGAGGGGCGGCTCCCGCTTTCCAGCTCCGCCCGCTGCGCTCCGCTCGGTCCCGCGCGGGGGAAGGAGCAGAGCAGGTGCGGATTTTCACAGAGAAAAAAAAAGTACATTGAAAAAGGGATTCCGCTCTATGAACTTTTCTCTTCAAGTGTTATTTTATTACTTGGGGTCCGCTGTAACCAGCTGTGGGACCGCTCACAACCTGCCGCTCCCACATCACAGCTGCCCGTTCTTTAATGGCTGTAACTGATCCGGGCCAGGAGGGGATCCCCGGGTTTATCCCATCCCTCCTGTGACACTGACTTGCTTCGAGAATTGCTGCCTTTGTAGATGCTACTGCCCCTTCTCCAGGAGATCAACTCTCAGAATTGAATTTGCTGAGAGCACTAACACAGATGCTGCTGCATACTGGTGTAATTGAGGTCTGGAGCCTCACAGCAGGGACTTCAGTGACAGGATGGATGCTTTCCCAGCTGGAGAGCTGAAGCACCATGGGGAGTCTTGGGTATCAGACACTGGAAAGCTAACAGAGTGAAATGCTCTCAGGGAAACAGTCTCTGAGCTTGTTGTTAGTGAAGAAAACACGAGCTATCTAAGTGAGGTAGACAAAGACATACACAGAAAATAGGAAATAAGGAATCACCAGCATCCACTGACATTTGCCTAAGGTCACGAGCTCATGTCAGTGGGCTTTTGCTGAACTGGTCTCCTCAGCATAAAGATTTTTAATAATTTGGGCTATGTACTGTGCCCAGACCCTCCCCTCTTAAAAAAAAAAAAAAAATCTGATACTGTCATAGACAGAGGAGATAAAAAATGCATAACACATTCTGATTGCAGCTCAGGAGAAAACAAAGGGAAATCAGGACTAGCAGTTCTAATCTCCCAACTTCTTTTTCTCACTTTGCCACTGACCAGTGGTAGCACCTTGAGGAGGTGTTCATCTTTATGCATCTGCAAGGTTGCATTTAGCAGCTTATCTCCCTGACTAGATTGATGCTCATAGAATTAAGTCATTTTAAAAAACATCAAATTCTTATATTTATTTTTCCCTCTTATTTCCTATTAAAAATGGCCTTTTGAAATATGTATGATTGGTATCTGAATACAGGTAGGTTTCCTTACTCCCTATTGCCTTTTCTCTAAGTGCACCTCTTTCTGTTGATGTTTCAGGCTGATCTTACTGCCTTCTTAAGAAGACTGATGAAAGTGCTCCCTTGAACAAGTGCATGTCAGCTCCCTCTGGGCTGTGATTCCAGGAGCCAGCAATAGGAAATCAAGAAGGAGCTGAGAAGGGAGATGGAAGCCTTTTCTGGAAAACATACTGTTCATTGCTAAGCTGCTTTAAATCAGTTGTGAAGATGAAGTCAGTAGTAGATTACCTCAGGTACATTTTCCCTTTTGATGAAATCCTGTTGTGGAGAGAGGAAAATGCTTATTTTCCACACAAATGAAGGAAAACAACAAAACATACAACAAAACAAACATAAAATGTGTTAAAACATAACTCCTGTTATCCTCTTGCATAAAGGGAATCGGCAGCTTTCTTAAGTGTAACACAGCATATAGTCCTATGAAGAGAAAGCTACTCAAGTTAGATATCTAAATCTATTTATTCCCTGAATTAAGTTTAATATATGCAGTCACAGCTGTATGCATTGCTGAGCATTCCAAGAAGGATGTAGAGAAGATCAAGCCAATCCTGAGGATACCTGATTGCCAAGTTAATGGCTCATTCACAATGCTCATTAGCCCCCTGTTGTTTCCATTTAGCATAATAAGCTACATTAAAATTTATTTTTTGATTAAAGCAAATGGTACTAATGGTAGACACAGGAAAAGGGTACTTTATCTCGAGTTGTTAAGCAAAACAATATCAGTCCTGAGTGCTCAGGGCCTTAGTGGCAGCCACCAGCCTCATGCTGCTCTTTATGCTCTCTCCCAGGCAAAGGAAGCCAGATGCTAAGTAGAGATGCAACACAAGCTAGGCAAAAACCTCCCCGACAGGGTGCAGCCCAGGTGCTCCAGAGAAAGGTAACCAGAGCAGCTACAACAAGTCCAGTCAGCAGTTTAGTAGCCACTGGTGAAAATAAGGTAACAAAATATCTCCAAGGTTAAACTGGGAAACCTAAACAGCAACTCAAAAACAAAACTAAGAGGGAAACCATCTCACTTCTCCCTTAACTTAGAGCCACAGCTTTAAGCAAAGCTTTTCCTACCTATTGTATGTCCTCCTACACATCACCACAACCATCAGAGGTTGTGGGATAAAGGTTCCAGGTGAGGCTGGTCAAGTCAGTCAAAACATATTAGTGTAATTTAAGGGCCTGACAGTGATAATAGGAAGTAAGAGTCTAGAACAATAGAAAGAACACTAAATTTGCAAGTGCATCAGGAATGAGTGCCAACACATCTATAAACCCTTCTGAGAAAAGATAAGGGTTAATGAAATTTTTTTCAATAAGGATAGAATTTAAATATTTTGAAATGCTTTCTTTTCTACTGCATTATTTGATATTTGGTTAGGTTTCTGTAGTTTAGCAAGTTACTTCTTGTTTGTAATTAACATACTGTATAATCAATGGATATTAAGATATTATAATCACAAAATAAAAGAGTTAGGTGAAGTAGACTAAGATAACAAAAGAGAATATGAATTGCCTTCACCTGTGCTCCTCTGGCTGGCTCATGGCTCACCTCAGGTGATCAATCAGAGGTTCAGGCCATGACTCAGCAGTTCCCATACACATACTATAACTCAGCAGTTGCAGGCTTTTGCTCTGCACAAGGGATATGTAAATCCATCATGGTGAGGTACATCCATGCATTCATTCTGCAGTTACAACAAGTTTAAAATGGTTGTCACTGTTCCTCAGCTATGATCTTGATTTCAGCTATCCAGTAGTAATTTAAAGTTCCTATGAACTAAGGCACTCCCCAGAAAACATTCTGTATACAAGCAGCAAGTTGTCTATACTTTTCCTATTTGTTCCTTCAAATTTCAACACACACATAAAGTAAAATGAAGATGCTTTTAATAGTTAGTCTTTCTGATGCTTAAGTGAGAAATCGGAGTGAAGGCTGCCCGGTATGACCATAAGTTAAATTCCACTTTCTTAACAATGCTTTGGGAGATTCACAATTTAAATGAAATACTGAAAGTTTAGGAAGATACTATTTTATACTGTTTTAACTAACAATAAACACAAGCAGGTCAAGAGAAAAACAAACAACAATCACTGCCTCTTCTTTAGAATTTTGGAAGAAATCTTATTATTAAAGTAGTGCTTTTCATCTTCTAAGAGATAGAAGATCTGATTGCACAAGAGCATAACACCTGAAGGACATTTAACTACACTCAGCAGGTTCCTAAAACAGATCCAATGCTACTAGTCAAATAGCAGCAGTCTTTCAGCTTATTCAAAAATATCAGAGTAAGCACAGTTAGGATTACACTTTACAGGCATTATAGTTGGAAAGATTATCAGTTAAAAAACAAAAGCAAACAAACAAACAAACCAAAAAAACAAACAAACAAAACAGCCAAAGAAGAAATGTTCTCCTATATCCTAGACTTACAGTAGAAAACTCCCAAAAGGAGGAATCTCTGGAAAGAAGCCCTTCTCTAGGGCCAGTCAGCTCTTAAATGGGGTCTAGGAGGGGTGGAGCCAGGCTGAATTGCCTTCACCTGTGCTCCCATGGCTGACTGAGTCCTTGCCTCAGGTGATCAATCAGTGATTCAGGCTGTGACTCTACAGTTCACATACAGCACCTATTAACAGAGAATCCTGAACACGTAATCATATTTTTTAGACCTTGTAGAAAACATTTGTAGGGAAAACTATTAGGCTGTGGCCTGAACTGACGATTGGACACCTGGTATAGGGGTGTGGCTGGCCCAGGAAGTACAGGTGCAAACAATTAACCTGTGCTTCCCACCTGAGTGGAGGCAGTGGAATGGGTCCACCCCCAACCAGACTCATTTAAGAGTTAGCCTCTGAGAGGAGATTATCTGACTGGAAGTCACTTTGTTGGGAGCATTCTGTGGCTAGAGATCCTTGCTGCTACTGGGGTAAGTCAACTTTTTTCTCTATATGTCTATTCATCTTCCTAACAATGTATTGCCTGATGTTATGAAAATGTTTTGTTGGAAGCAGTTTCACTGTTTCATAGGGGTAGCTGATGTTATGTGTGATTTTATTTGAGGTAAGGATTAAAAGCACAGCTATGATGATATTGTATACTTAGGACCATGTTTCACTATGTTTTGTGTCTAGTTCATTTGTGGTTGCTGTTATTGTAAGAGTGCTGAATTTTTCCTCTATTGGATTCTATTTTGTTCATTTGTTTTCTGGAATGAGGATTATTCAGAAATCTCTGAAAAATTTCTGAAGTGCAGAGTGTGTCTGTGTGATTTCATAGGGCTGGAGCCTACAGTAGGAGGTTGAAGGAGGTGGGCTTTTTCCCCTCTGGAGAACAGAAAGCTCTGGTCTACCTTAGCGTGGCCTTCCACTACTTACAAGGGGCTTATCAACAGGAGGAAGACTGACTTCTAGCATGAACAGGTAGCAATAGGATAGGGGGAATGGTATTAAACTGAAGGGGGAAAAGTGTACATTAGATATTAGGAGAAAATTCTTTATTCAGAGTGGTGAGATACTAGGAGAGGCTGTCCAGAGAAGCAGTGGATGCCCTGTCTGTGCAGGTATTCAAGGCCAGGCTGGCTGGGGTTGGTCAGCCTGATCTAGTGAGTGGCAATCCTGCCTACAGCAGGAGGTTGGGACTAAATCAGCTTTAAGGTCCATTCCATCTTATTCTAGCTTGATGTTTTCAACGTGTTACTGAAAAGTAACACGCTGCAGTTTATGCTCACTACATTGTGCTGTTTAGGGACTAGAGGGGGAAAAAAACCTCACAAATAATGTTACAGTGGTATAAACTTGCTTTGGAGTTTTCACTGAGTAATGGTGGATACATTCTGCTTGCACATTAAATTAGGCTCATTAAGGCAGACTTAAACTAAAATGAGTAAGAAAGGGGGAAATATTCATTGAGGGACTTAGTCCCATCCTTATTTGTAGTGTAGGCCAATAAGCAGGCTGAGTGCTTATGTATGATTCATTTATCTGTAAGAACTACAGATCAGTCACAGAATGATTTATTTGGAGCTGATCCCTACAGTTCTAAGGCAGGTAAAGGTCAGGTAATCCAGACATGGTGTTATGCTACGTTGAGGGAGTGAGAGATGTTTATTCAAAAGTATGGGGTCAAGCTGACACAATGTAATCAAGGCCCAAAAGAAAAGTTAGAAGAGGGGTGAAATAGATGATATTTTCCTGTGAGAGCTTGTGTCCATCTGTGCTTTATGTGGCATAATTTATATTCTAGTATAATCTTCACATTACAGCATCTGGGTGAGAGGCTAAAGATGGACTGAGTGCAAGCTGGTTTTTGTTAGGTGCAAGATTATGTATGCTGCTTTCTTTCTCCTTAGCATTTCTTCAAAATGTTCATGGTTTTCTTTTGATGGTTCAGTTTTGAACACTGTCTCTTTGTATTCAGCTCAGCTTGCCATAGTTTGCCCTGAAAGCTCTGTAATTATATAATTCAAGCATAAGAAAATGCATGAGAATAAACTACTTAGTTCACATCTTGCTTTTTGAAAACTACATACTGCCTTCAGTTTGCTCTTGGGGTCTAAGGACTACTCACAACTGCTATAATTAAACTTAGCCAGGAGAAAAGTAAAGAAACCTGTAAGCCTGCAATGTCTGATTTTGTTTGAAGGAAAGGGAATTTTTAATGACTAGTTAAAACCACAAGCCTGTCTTTCCTTTACTTTGCATTTCTTGTGCAGTACATTTCTCCTTTTGGCTTGTGATCCAGTGCTGCAGTGGATCACATGAGGTAGTACATTGTTTCATTTATTTTTGCACCTTTGTTAATCTCAAAGTAAGTAAAGATGAACTGGTGTTTCTTGATGACTTCATATACATTTAAATTGAAAAAATGTTCACTTTTCCTCTCTCCTCAAGCTGTGATGTGGTTCCTGTGAGGGACATTTCTGTTGCAGCAGGGAACTGTCGAAATTTTGTGGAGTATACTTGAGGGAATTATTACTTCATATTAATGTGATTTGGAGATGCCTGGTCTGGGAAAATGACAGGAACATTTGTCAAGCAGAGTTAAACTGTATACTTTGAAATATTTCATCACAACACTTCCATACACTTGAGTTGTCACTTTATGGGCTTGTTATTTTACAGTGAGGTTTTTAGGCCTGGAGATGCACAAAAGCCCTGACTAAATGTTGACAGTGAAGGGAGTGTTAAATAACCTCTTCCTCAGGGCTGACTAAGAGAGGGCAGATACTAAATATCCCCCTTCTGTGGTGGG